GTAAAAAAAAGGCAAAAACCCATGTTAAGCCCCTCAACTTTTTCAACAGTTAGTGATAAGCCCCTAAACTAAAAACGTGGTAGATAAACCCTCAAATCGCACGTAAGGAGCAAATTAGCCCCTCCACTAACTGACATCTATCACGCTGTTAGTGCAATGGCTTGCATGGCCTTTGACATCCAACTGGCTCCAACATGGCTTCAACGTGGCGCCAACCTCTTCTCCATTTTCCTCGCTCCTCCCTCTGTCCGTCTCCGAACCAGCGTTGAAGATGATGCACATGACCTTGTACTGGGGCAAATAAGTCAGCCTCTTTGACTCATGGAGTACACACAGACTCCAGGCACCGTCTTTCCATTCCCAAGCTTAACATCAGTAGGGAAATCTCTATCAATAGTTCCAGCACCGACAGTTGTGACCCATGGAGCAATATTGGTCACCTTTAGTCGACCAGGACCGCCATTCCCGACAGAAGCAGATACAAAAATCTCTCGATCATTTGCACCAAAAGCGCTAATCGAAATCGCATTGAGATAATACGGCACAACAACACCACCCACGCTGAGCGAAATAACATCGACTCCGTCGGCAACGGCGGCGTCAAACGCTGCCAGAATATCAGAATCATAGCAACCTGAATTCCAACACACCTTGTAAGCGGCGAGTCCCGCTTTCGGCGCCATACCTGCAGCCACCGCTTTAGCATACCCCATTGTGGAAGAATAGGTAGCCAACAATAAAAATTGTTAATTATTAATTTATAAATTTTTGAGTCCCACTTTCGGCGCCATACCTGCAGCCACCGCTTTAGCATACCCCATTGTGGAAGAATAGGTAGCCAACAATAAAAATTATTAATTATTAATTTATAAATTTTTATCACAATTTTTATCGAATGGCCGGTATTTGGTAAGGTCTTAGGAACCACCAGCACGGTGCTCGGTGTTATTGCTGGATCGAGTGTCGTTTTGCTCACTGTCAACGCCGTTTTGGCCAAGCTCTCCGATCGGGTTTTCTCTGGCATAGGAATTCAAGATTTCTTTACTTGAGTTGCTAAGGACCAATGGGAAACTGGCACCTGGCTATCCAAATATCATAGGCTGGACCTTAATCTTGCAGTTTGCCTAATTTCTTCTTCAAAGCGTGTTTGGTTACCCAACTTTGTTAGGAAATTTTTTTATTGGGGAAGTTCATTAAAAAATATTATATAAAAAATTAATAAATTTTGTAGATAAATCTTGTTAAAATTTTATTAATTTGTTAATTTTTTTATATTTACTAGAAATACTAATATAAAATATTATTCAGTAAATTCAATATAAAAAATAAAAGAGAAATTTTCCTTTTTTAAAAATTGTGATAAAAATTTATAAATTAATAATTAATAGTTTTTAAAAAATTGTGATAAAAATTTACATCCTCGCATCGGAAGAATAGGTTGCCAACAGTTAGCCTGGCAACAATGGCGAAAAACACGCCTCCGTTGAACGACATGATGGCAAGCATCAAGAGGTATCCGATTGCGGAGTTGGCTCCGAAAAGCACAGCCGATGCGACTTTAGCGAGCTTGAAGCGGAGGGTTTTGGGGAGAAGAGGGGTGGCGGCGGAGATGGGGTTGGTGGAGATGAGGGATTTGAAGCAGATTCAACGATCTTCCATGTATTCCCACCAGTGGACTTGATGCCACGTTGGAGCCATGTTGGAGCCACCTTGAAGCCACTTGGATGTCAAATGCCACACAAGCCATTACACTAACGGCGTGACGGAGCTCAGTTAGTAGAGGGGCTAATTTGCTCCTTACTTGGGGTTTGAGGGCTTATCTGCCACCCTTTTTGTTCAGGGACTTATCACTTACTTTCGAAAAAGTTGAGGGGCTTAACATGGATTTTTGCCTAAAAAAACAACCAGAGAGAGTACAGGTGGAGAGTAAATCTGGAGTAGACTCAATTGCAGCGGCAAGGAAGGGAGGTGAACAGTGCACCCAAACAACCTCAAAGGAGCAGATTATCGATTCCTCTGGTCGAACGATCCAGATAACTGGACACCCTTCAATCCACTCGTGTAGGAGTGGTGCTTAGTCTCCAAGACGTCGAGGCGGGAAGCCAAACCGGCGGTGGCCACCAGATTTGGGAACCCAACGACCACCACGGTAGATCCGCGTGAGTGTTGGACGGCCACCAGATCTAAGCACAAACGAAACAAACAAACAGAAAAACCAAAAAAAAAAATAAATAAAGAAAAGGACCACCAGAAGGATCCCAAAAGCCGACAGACCCTTTTTGTTTTTTATTTGGCTCACCTCCTTTGATCATTTCCGATAGGTTTAATACCCAATTTGGTCCTTAAACTTTCATTTGAAAACTTTGTTCGTCCTTTAACAAATGAAAGCACTCAAGTTGTCCTTTAACTTTATTTATTTGGAACCCAAATGGTCCTTCCGTCACGGAAGTGCCCAAGTGGCACGTTAACTTACCACGAATTAATCCTTTTATTTCAAAAAAACTACGTGGAAAAAAAATGATGATTTGACCTTTCCCTTATCTTCAACCCTCATCCCTCTCTGCCATTTTTGTTTCTTTTCCTGTTCTCCAGCACCGACATCAGCCATTCCTTCTCTCTGCAATTTATCTTCTCAATCCTTTCACCAGAATCAGAGTCAAGCTGCCATGGGATAAACAATTCAGGACTCCTGAATCATCAGGAAATCCAGAATTCAGCACGGTCCGGTCGATCCCTACTGCACTTTCCTGGCCAACCATCCTTATAAATCCGGACACAGGTTTTCCCTATGCAAAATAGGGGATCGTGCATGGAACAGAGGAATTCACAACTTCGACAGCCGGTGTTCTGACGCAATATTCTACAAGGATGACTTTTACACCATGGATTCAAAGGGACTCATCTGGGTTATTCGCCAGAAAGCAGTGTGATTGAATGTGCGTCCCGTTGAGTTGGGGTCCATCCTCCGTCCCTTATACCTGCTATTACTTGGTGGAGACTGAGGGTGATTTGTTAACAGTTGCATCCAGTTTTCCCTATGGTAGCTTTCTTTTTGTTTACAAAATGGATTGGGAGAAGAAAAAGTGGGTACGGGAAAAAAGCGTGGGTGAAAATGCATTCTTCGTGGGGTGTTTTTGTTCCTATCCGGTTCCACCAACCCAAATGGTGCAGGTCTTTGCTTCTTTCAAAAAAGCAGAGTACGCGAGTGAGTGCATACTTTTCATATATGATGTTCCGGGCCATAATTACCGTAGGCTGGGTGCGTCCATGGTGTCCACAGACGCTGAACCGGGTGAAGTGTGCTGGGATTTCTTTTTGTTTTGAACAAACCGAAATTAGTTACATATTTTAAGCAATTGGGGAAAGGAAAATTGAGTCCAATTTAGGTTTAATACCCTGTGAAGGTAAAAGATACAATACCATGAGTCCATCTTGAGTTCGAATTTACTAAAATGAAAATTTCAAACTCAAGAAAAGGGAAATGAGGAAGGAGGAAGGAGGAGGGTGGAGAGTAGAGAGAAAAATGAGAAAGGGAAAGAATGATGCCGCTGGTATTGGTGTTGATGTCGGTGCTGGAGAACAGGAAAAGGAACAAAAATGGCAGAAAGGGATGGGGGTTGAAGATGGGGGTTGAAGGTAAAGAAAGGTCAATATTAAGATTACCAAAGCATCATTTTTTTTTCCACGTAGTTTTTCTGAAATAAAAGGATTAATTCGTGGCAAGTTAATGTGCCAGCTGGGCACTTCCGTGACGAAAGGATCATTTGGGTCCCAAATAAATAAAGTTAAAGGACAACTTGAGTGCTTTCATTTGTTAAAGGACGAACAAAGTTCTCAAATGAAAGTTTAAGGACCAAATTGGGTATTAAACCTTTCCGATAAGATAAGATTATGTGGTCAATTTCAAGGGCAATATTAAGTCATTTTTGGTGGCTTTAGTATGGTGCAATAAGTCAATTTTGGGTGGCTAACACAATTGCCGAGATCAATTGACGAGAGAGAATGCCGATGTGATATTTCAGAATTTTATGAATTTTTTGAACATGGGAATCATAGGGGAATGAAAATTTTTTTAAGTAATTAATGAAAATTAAATTTGTAATTAATTAAATTTAAATATTAAAATTTATAAAATAAAAAAATTAAAATTTATAAATAAATTATTAGATTCGAAGGCATGATTTTCCATTAATGCATAAATGAAATTGGATCTTTGTCCTCCCGTGTTAATCCTCCTCTCGGCATCTTCTTTTTGTTTTTTTTTTTTTTTTGGCCTACCTCCTTAGATTATCTCTAATAAGATATTTTTATGTGGTCAATTTCAAGGGCAATAAATTTTCTCCCAACATAAAGTCAAAAAAATGTTTACTCCCAAGATGGATTATTAATAGATGTGAGAGTGAGACGGCTAATGAGCAATAATAGAACTCCGAGATACTCAATTCAAAGGGCAAAAAGATGCCCATTCTACCATGCTTGTTTTCACTGAAGCTAAGTTCCAAAATCAGCAATAGATCAAGGATCATTGAGTCCGGAAGGCGACAACTGCTTAATTTATACCCCACCCACCCTGTTTGTACTTTGTGTTCATTTTTGCATTAATTAAAAATCGATTCCTGACCGCTCTTACCATTTGTGCTCATCCCCTCTGTATTGGTTAAGAGTGATTACCGACCCTCCCTCTCCTTGTATTGGAACCAGATCACAGCAATGGCTTCTTTCATCTCATCTGTCACAACAAGGTAAATAATTTTGATTATCACTTCTGTCCCATCTGTTTGGCATTGGCTGATTCAAAGTCTGCAGGCTACAAGGAAAGGTTGCCTTGATCACCGGAGGAGCCAGTGGGATCGGCGAATGCACCGCCAGACTCTTTGCCCATCATGGAGCCAAAGTTGTTGTCGCTGATATTCAAGACCAATTAGGCCACTCTGTCTGTGAATCCATCGGCCAATCAAACTCCACTTACGTCCACTGCGACGTTACCGACGAGTCTCAAATCAAAAACTCCGTCGATAAAGCTGTCGCCACCTATGGCAAACTAGACATAATGTTCAACAACGCAGGCATAGCCGACGAAAACAAGCCGCGCATAATCGACAATGAAAAATCCGATTTCGAGCGCGTCCTTAGCGTGAACGTGACCGGAGTCTTCCTGGGGATCAAGCATGCGGCTAGAGTCATGGTCCCCGCTCGTAGTGGCTGCATCATCTCCACCGCCAGCATAAGTTCAGCCATTGGTGCTGCAGCCTCCCATGCTTATACTGCTTCAAAGCATGCTGTGCTAGGACTCACAAGAAATGCTGCGGTTGAGCTAGGACAATTCGGGATCAGAGTTAATTGCTTGGCTCCCAACGCCTGCTCAACACCTTTAGCTAAGAAATTTGTTGGGGTTGACGATGAGGAACTCGAGAAGACAATGAATTTGCTTGCTAATCTTAAGGGTGTGACACTTAAGACAGAAGATATTGCTAATGCAGCACTTTTTTTGGCTAGTGAGGAGGCAAGGTACGTGAGCGGTCACAACCTCTTCATAGATGGAGGTTTCAGTATTTATAATCGATCGTTTCACATGTTTCAATACCCAGATGATTCTTAAGCATCATTTGAAAGAGATAGATGGTCATTCCTCTTTTCTTTCTGGAATCTATCTTCACCTATCTCAATATCTGAATTTTAAACTTTATCAAATATATATGTATATCTGAATTTTAAATCTCCAGTCTGGAAAACAGGAGTTGACTTCTATTGTGTAAGGCATAAGTTCAACAAATTGGTGCTTGTTTTGAGCATATTTTATCTTCTACGCTGTGATACATCATGCATCAATACACCAGATGGGATCCAATAAATCAAGTTGGATCTATCTTTTTATGGCGGAGTTAGTCTTCCTCTCCTCATTTCTATGAAGGCCTTAGTGGATGCCAACTATAAAGATCACCACGCACCTTTCATCCGGTTCACAGATTCCACCTTTTCACATAAATTATAAGTAATATTACTAGTGTTTAAAAATTAATATTTTAAATATATCTATAAAACAAATTAATTTACACATAAATTTTATATATTATATT